ACAAATAATAATAATAAAAAAAAACATTAAATTACTTTGTGTAAACAAAACAAAGCATAAATTGACATTAGTACTTTATAATGCAGTACACACATATATAGCTCTTTTATTTTTCTTCCTACATATTTTTTTGTGCTTACAAAATAAATGTATTCTTTAGTTGCACAGGTAGAGGTAAGAGATTTGTTACCTAAAAATGTGAAAACTGCATTAGCTTTGCAGTGGCTGTTTCTTACCTGAACAGATCACTCCAGCATCAAGTACATGAGGACGACGGAGTGACCCTGATATCTTAGCAGCCTCTTGAGATGGACACATAGACAGTGTCGGCTCTGATCCATTACAGGAAACCTGAAAAATTAGCTCCTTCCCAGAACCTTCTCCAAAGTGAGCTCTACCAGGAGTGGCTACAGCAGACCCACAGCCCAGCTCTCTACACACCACTGTAGCGTCATTCATGTCCCAGCCAAGCTGCATTACTGTCCCCCACTGTCCTCCACGATTCACCTCTACTGTCCCAGCACAGAGACTCCCTCCCTTCACCAGTCTCACCTCCTCATGTCCTGTAGGTAGAAAAGTCAGAGTCATTGGCTAATTTCTTCTACAGTCTAAACACATACAGGTAGTTAAATCGGCTGCCCATTGTATGTCCACCCTGCATGTTACCGTCATTATTAATGTAATTAGAGGCACCGGGGGCTGGGAGCGTTTTTCCGGCAGCCTGTGCAGGGCCCATTTTCCTGATAACGGCGACTCTTAGCGTCTAAAGTTGCATCTTTCGAAAGGTATTTGTTTTCCTAAAAGTGTTTCCCAAACAATCTCTTAAGAGATTGCTAAAGGGAGAGCTTAAATGCAAACTTAATAGGCGCTGGAACACCTGATTGGTTGAGATTAATGGCTCGAGAATTGATGTTTCCCTCCATGCAGCAATTGCTTGACAGCCGCATGAGAGAAAGTGAGGTTCTTTGTATAAATATAACATTGCAGAAATGCTTCAAAATATGTCATTAATCAGAACTGAGGAGAAGCTAAAAATAAAATACAAAATTAACTAATTGAATCATCTAACATAAATGATATTTGGTGCACAAACCCCAAATGTAGTATCATCAGTTTATTTTTATTTGTTCTATAAAACACCTGCGTGCACCAACATGTATGCATTGGAGCATTAAGAGACAACTTAAGGTAGAATTTACGAATGATAGAGCGTTAAGAATGTTTCCGTAAACTGGGCCCTTGGTGTTCCGCTGCCATGTTCCCCTGCCTTGTTCTCCTGCCTTGTTCTCCTGTCTTGTTCCCCTGCCTTGTGGCCGACGCTACTTGGGATAGACTCCAGAAGCAGAAGTCCTGCTGTATTTCCTGTATTATCTAACCAGGAGCTCGATTATAAATATAAGCAAACCGTTTCAGTGGTATTTGTGGTAACCAGATAAGCAAATGCAAACATACTCAGAGATGACTTTTTTCTTCATATTTCATTAGCAGATGCTTTTCCCCCAAACAACATAAATTTTTGTTGAGAGAAAGTCAGTCCCTGGAGCATTTGGGTATAAAGGGCCACATTCAAGGGCCCTATGGGATTTCAACCAGCAACTGCCAAATCATATGTACTGTACAAGCATAGCATGCTAACCCACTAAACCACATAAATCTCCTACATTAAATACATATCCATTCCCTCAGACTGTCTTCAGGTTGATTTAGTAGCTACGCTGAAATAATTATAATACAGTACATAATAATAATAATAGTAATAATAATAATGATAATGATAACACAGTAACAATAAAAGTAACTACACATAGAACTACAGTGCATGTCGTGCCGATGAACCGGTGAAGCCACACAATATTTTCATGAGCGTAACAAGGATGTGCATTCATCCGTTATTACAGACTCGAATTTGTAATGTAATTGCAATCAAAGAAGTATGTTTGTAAGTACGA